TGATGATGATGATGATGCTGCTGATGATAGCGATGGCGATGATTAGGGCGTATATTTCTCTGTTTGACTGCGTCTACATTTTCTTTGCCTATTGTCCGTAATTGTTCTTGGCAGTATTCCATATTTTGCATAATGTGAATTGTTTTGTCAAGTGTTAACTTATCACCTTCGTTGATCAATTTTTCCCTGGCTTTTGGGTTATTTATCCCAAAAACAATTCTGTCACGGATCATTTCTTCCGGCTTGTCGAATTGACAATCTCTAACCCTTATCCGTAGTCGTGTCAGGAAAGAGTCGAAGTTGTCTGAACCCTGCGTTTCGTTATAAAATTTAAACCTGGCAAAGATGGGGTTGAGTTTTGGCTGTACATAATTTCGAAACCGTGTGTAATAGGTTTCTAATTTTTTCTGGTCTTCTGCTGATATATCACCCCATGTTTGGCGGACTTCTGTGCCCCTGCTTCCTACCCAGATTAATAGGTAGCTGACTTTCTGCTCTTCACTCTTCTCCAGTAACGGGCCGTTGAATATTAATTTTGCATGCTCTTCAAACTTGTGCCATTCGTCTGGCAAATTGGTACTATCCCAATTTATATTCGGCGGTGGAATTCCCTCCATTGTTCTAACAAATGTTTATAATATATGAGAGCTTTATAATCCTTTTTTCACTTTTTTTTTAATCCGTTTTTTTCTTCTGACACCATGTAATATTTCTTGTGTAATTTATGTACGTATATTTATTATGGATACGGAGTTCAGTAATTCACAAATGTGAATAGATTGAAGTAAGAACACAGGTGTGAGCTTATCAAGTTTAATCTCAGAACTGGCTAGTGGCGGGAATCGCCTGTCTATATATAAGAACTGCCCATTCAAGCATTAATGGAATAGTACTGATAATATAAAGGTCAAGGTAAAATAATCATGCAGGTTAAACTAGTATCTGATATCGTTACAATTGGGTTCTTAAAAAGAAGATTTTTTAATTTTTTACTATATGCATATAGGGAAAATCAATGGGGCGGGGCCAATTTTGACCCCAGGGCTTTTATTTGAACAAACTTTGTAGACACTCACTAGAAGATGTTTTATGCTTACTATCTAAACTCTAGCTATCTGGGGTTTTACAAGGAAGATTTTAAGTTTTTGCTATACACTGTCATATAAGGAAAATCAATGACCTCCGGGGCGGGGCCAATTTTGACCCCAGGGCTTTTATTTGAACAACATTTGCAGACACTCACTAGAAGATGTTTCATGCTTAATATCTAAACTCCAGCTATTTGGGTTTTTTCAAAGAAGATTTTTTTAAGTTTTTGCTATACACATATAAGGAAAATCAATGACCCCCTGGGACTGGGCCAATTTTGACCCCAGGGCTTTTATTTGAACAAACTTGGAATGGAAGACACCCATTAGAACATGTTTCATGCTAAATATCTTAGCTCTAGCTCTGAGGAGTTCTTTAAAAGAAGATTTTTTAAGTTTTTACTATATGCATATAGAGAAAATCAATGACCCCCTGGGGCGGGACTAATTTTGACCCCAGGGCTTTGATTTGAACAAACTTGGTAGACACTCATTAGAAGATGTTTCATGCCAAATATCTTAGCTCTAGCTCTTAGGGTTTTTTAAAAGAAGATTTTTTAAGTTTTTCCTATTGGTTGCCATGGCAACCAGAGTTTTTAATGGAATTTAAATTTTTGAACAACTTTGAAAGGGGTCCACCTAAGGATCATTTCTGTAAAGTTTGGTTGCAATTGGCCATGTGGTTTAGGAGGAGATGTTGTTTGAAAAGTTTGACGCCATTTTTTGAAGGACGCACGACGCACGGACGCACGACGGACGCAGAGTGATGACAAAAGCTCACCCTTGAGCACTTTGTGCTCAGGTGAGCTAAAAACAGAACAGATATTTTATTAGACGTATACATAAGTATATCGATCATCCTAATACATTGAAATCATTGCATGCTTCCAGTTTCAAGTTACACTAAATGTTAATGCAAATTATAACAAAAATATATAGGTACCTTTGGAAAAGGTTAATAGCTTTATTGTTATGTTTTACGAATGTTTAACTGATCGACACAGTATTTAATATCTTTATTCAAATAACACCTGGAGGTGTGCTTTGTTACTTTGTAACATTATTACATTATCATGCCTTAATTAATGATAAAACTTTGATCATTATTAATATGAACACAAATTATTTCCTAAGAATACTTTCTGCTGGTTCATAATCACCTGTGCAAAGCAGTGTGGAACTTAAAAAGAAATTTAAAAAATATTGATGAAGTATGTAGTTTTACATTTATAAGTTTAAAAATAAATGGACAATTCTTCGTCTGTCGTTCGCTATAAATGGACAATAAATAGAATGCAAAATAAAGCACAAAACAAACCACCTCTATACTGTCCTTTGTTGAATACGGTAGCAGTGCCATATGGTATATTTTCCTACATCCTGTATCATATCCTCCAGTAACTGCAATTTCCCCATGCCGTAAACCCTTAACATATTTTCTGTGACATTCTTTCTGAAGCCCACGTCCGGCCGTCTTCAAAAGAGCTGCTGAAACATTACCTTTAGAAAGGTCCAAATTAGCAGATGTTGTGTTTACCAGTACATCAACCTGTTAAGAGAATCTTAACGTAATCTCTTTCGTAGTTACCACAAATGCTATAGTATTGTTCAGAATTATTGTCTAGGTAATCAACATAATTGCATGTATTAAATTTAATTTTTGAATATAAATAACGTATTAGTGTCTGAATAATTTATATTTTTTGCGTTCCCCTTTTACTCACATAACATGAAAAACATATCTGTCGTATTACGTGGCCATACATTATATATGTGTTGCTGCACACAGATCTGCTCCAGTTCACAGTTTTCGAGAATATATGCCAAAAACAATAGCAACTGTTATAGGTAATGACTCGATCGTACATGTATGGTAATTTATCTTGAATTGATTCATTTCGTATATTGCATATGGTGGTTTCATTTGAATAAAACCCATTTTGCTGTGAACGTCGAGTTATTTCACCTTTTGTAACCATGACAACTGATGGAATTTCACTTGGCGGGGATTCATTTTATTTACACTGTCTCGTTTATAGGAACATGGTGGGGCTAAGAGTGAGGTTTGGTGCACCATTAACCGGTTTAAACTCCCCGGCAGTATTTATGCTGCTGACCGTTCCAAGGCGGCGCCCCTCTGTGTTCCTCAGATTTTTGTCTATTGTGTTTTATACCGTTTCGGTGACACTTTTGTGTCTCTTGTTGTTTTCTCGTCTACGGTAAGTATCTTCCCCTTTGCCCCTAGTTTTTATTTATTCTATCCCCCCATCCCCGGGTCTCATGTCCCCTTCCCCTGTGCCTTTTGACTTTATGGGCCTAATATTCAATAATTTATTTGTTTTCTTTTAGTTCCTTATCAGTTTCTTATTATTTAACCTTAGGTAGTAGTTTGCCTGCCCGTACTCTGCCTTATGCCCGTTCCTGTTTTTGTTTGGAGTCCTCCTGGGCTCCTTGCCACTGGCTTTTGTTACTGGGTCGGGTGGGGCTGCGTTCATTGAACGCCGCCTTTCCTTGATGATCTTGTTTATCATATTTTTTGGCAAATGCCGATTGCACAACCGTACTTTTAGATATAACCATTGTAATGTCAAAAAGAATTAACATATAGCGTGATATATAAGAAAATGTAAAATTATAACTGTTTTACCAGTCATTAATGTCAAATAAACAGAATGAATTTAAAAAGCATGATTAATTATATTTCATTTTGCCCTACTGCTTCGGTTTCCTGCCACATATTGGTCGCCAACGGCATGACTTATATAGCTTTTTTAGAAGTCTACTCAATGTTTCAATTTAATATAAGGATACCATATTTATTATAAAAGCATACGAAACTCACACACAAACAAGAAAAAACAGATACAGGTAACCCACCGGTTAGTACTATCTATTAAACATGTTTGAATTGTACCCAATAAAAAACGTATTTTGTCGAATATATATTAAACAAATCTCCCTACAATTCATTGTAACACGAACTTTCAGCATCACAAATCACGGACAAAATATTCGGTTCTACACTAGGATAATGTATAATACACTGGTTGGCCATATTTGAATAAAAAAAACAATGTCTTGTTCGGGATGTTGTTTGTGAGCAGCTGACCTTAGCAATGAATAGAAAAGGTGGAGCTAAATGTTAACTGCTTAAAACTACGTTCATTGTTTTGTTTAATTTACAGTTATATATATTAGGTCTTCTATATATATGCCATAAGGTTTTCACCCAAATTTTTTTTAAAATGAGCTATTTGAACATGTGTTCCATTCAAAAAATGTCTCTATTACTTAGTTTGGTTCCCGATCCCCAGAGTAAAAATTTAATTTAAAAAATAGCAAGCGAACTAACCAAAATCAACATAGTCTTTTCATACACTTTTATAGCGCCAACCAGGAACAACTAAGTAGTTCTGTTTTAAAGATATACTATGCTCATCCTTGCATAAAAAATTTAATTGAAGAAATGCAATGAAATCTATCAATTTCTTATCGAATATGTATTTAAATAAAAAAAAACGAATAAAGCATGTATTTGAGGCTGCGTTTCCTATTACAGGTCAAGTAAAGCTGATCTTTTCTTTAAAAAAAAACTGCTAGTTTAATGACACTATATTTTCATATTGTGAACACCTATAGCGAGTAGTATTTAAAACATGTGAAGTTAAAACATGTTTATTTTATATTTACAAAGAGACCGTGTAGAAATTATCAATATTTTTAATATCAAATTTATGCATAGTATAATGTAAGAGTATTTGTTGCTGCAAAATGGCCTAAACAGGAAAATGCTTCAATTAATGAGCAAATGGCTAAAATGTTAAAAATAGCAGAATCACTAGTTCAAGAAATATTTTAATATGAGAGTGATAACTCAACGAAATGGTAAGGAAGCATTTAATATCATATGTCAGAAATTTAGTCAAATTGTTAGGTCTATTGAATGAAATGAAATAAGACAAGAAGTTTCGTTCGTTTATATGTAAAAAGGTTTGAATGATAGAAGAAAAAATAATCAAGAGAAGGCAAGGGCCTTTAGGAACTTCTATCTTACATTCAACCAGCATATCACAGTTTCTTTAAAACATTACAAGTATCTCCCTGAAATGAATTGTCTTTTCTTTTTTTATTTCTCAATACTTTTAGTTTGGTTTCTTGTCACAATTTCCAAATTATTACTCACTTGCCATATACACGAACTATCATTTGCTTCTGTAGCTATATAAGCAATTGATAAAAATACAGTAAATTAGTATTTTGTATGGGAGTCAAAATACTTCTATGATTACATTTTGCTACCTTTATGACATTAATATGCGCATTCAGTGCTACTTTCTTCCGTTTCTGAATATACAACATGCCTTAAATCCATAATTAAAACATTTTAACAAATGTTTGACATTTCTTAAGAATTGACAAATTATGTTTCTAAGGCACCATCTATGCGGCTTTAACATGGGCTTTTTAGTTATAATGTTTCCAACATGCAAAAGCAATATTCTAAAGCAACTTGCCTTTGTCTTGTCTAGCTCTCCTTGACAAACTGTTACACTCAGCTCATCTTTATTCTGGGTGGCTTGAATAAAACATTCAAATGTATGTGATTATCTTGTTGTTGATAAGTAAAGGATTGACTATATTTCCGAACATTATATGTCATTTTATACATAATAAAGTAAGAATTATATTTTTTATCTTCATATCTTGAGTTCTTCTTTAAGCATGTGATTGGTTTCTTAGGCAATAGATTGCAATTAACACAGTCGTCCGTAAAATGAAACCTATAACATTATCATTTATAACAATAGGCGGAACTAAGTAAAATGGAGTTTTGAAATCGCATAAGAGCTGCAACACGACACAGGATATTTTCATTATCATTTAGGCGGAAAACATTTTAGAATTTACAGAGCAGACATAAAATGTTTGAATTTTTATCGCTAAGAGTGGCATTGACATTGACTCTACACAGTTGTAACATTGGTTTTGCACATTCAATGTGCAAAACCAATGTTACACCTGCGGAGACTCAATGTCAATGTCACTCATGGCGGTATGTTTACCTTGTTGACGTGAGCAAAGTTTGAATAAAATGCAACAAGTGGTATAAGATTTAAAAAACGGACACAAAATTGTCTGATATTTGACCTTCAGTGGTGACATCGCCTTAATGAGGTGAACATTTGAGCCAAACTTAAAGAAAACCCTTTAACTGGATCTATGAAGCGATACAAAATTGTCAGACACTTGACCTCCAGGGTGACATTGCCATTGAGCCTGCATAGGGGCTGCACTGATTCTGCCAATTGCCTTGATATGGTCAAAATTAGTGCCACGTTTGTTTGGAGAAAATCCTTCAAGAGGTATACGATTTATAGAGAGAGCAGAAAATTATCTGACAATTTTAAATTTGTCCATCAACGGTGACATTTACATTGAGCTGACAAAGCAGTGACATGGATTCTGCACATGGCATTGAATAAGTGCAGATCGAGTTAAGGGATTTATAGGGCAGGCACGAAAATATCTGATATTTGACCTCAAACCTTGATCTTGAGCCGGCACAGTCAAGGCAAAGATATTCAAATTGCCTCGTTAAGGTGAGCATTTGAGCAATGTTTGAACAAAAATCCCTCAAGTAATATAAGATCTAATTTAAGAGCAGATACAAAAGTGTTTGCTTTTTGACTATTTGCCGGCGGGTGGTATAATCCGGACACAATAAACAGAACATTCGTCACTTCTTAAAATACATGAAGATTGACATAGGTAAACATTGGTAAACTGCAAGTGATCAACCAAATAATTACCATTAAGTTATACACATTATATATACTGAAATATTTTCTTGGTTTGACTCTTAAACAGCGCAAGAGATAATAGATAAGACCACTAAAAAGATAAAAATGGATTCAGCTAGTGGGTTCAAAATCTGGTGGAAACCGTTTCTTTTTTTTCAAGCTAAAATTCTTTATTATTAGCATAATGCACTGCCTAAAAACACAACTTTTGAAACAGCAGATGTACTTTGGAAAGTTGTTGTTGTTTGTTTGTTCATTTTTTGTCTCTTAAAATATGTTATAAAATATTCCTAGATTTAAGGAAAAAAAGAAAATAAATAAGGTGGATTTAAGATACTTCGTTTAAAACAAGAGCTGTCACAGGAGACAGCGAAGCTCGACTAATAAAATACTGGACGCAGTAAGGAGGACAAAACTATGAAAGAAAAATCAATTATGTATAATTATGTATTGAAAAATAGTAAAAATAACATTTGTTAACATTAATTCCAAGATCATGGGGAATAATTCTAGAAATAGTCATGCTAGAGTTATGGACCTTGTCACACAACATTTGTGTAATGATAAGAAATATATATTTGAAGTTTGAAGTAGATACCTTAAAAAGTAAAGAAGTTATTATATTTCTTAAAGAAAATCCTAAGTTCAAAGAGAGATAAATCTGTAAATATTGCTTCAAGAGTTATGAACATTGTACATAAAATGTAATTGATGATAAGGAATAAGTATTTGAAGTTTGAGGTAGATACCTTTAAAAAAAAGTTATAATAAAAAATAACATTTTTCTAGTAAAGAAATCTAAGTTTATGGGGAGATAATTCTTGCAATATTGGTGCTAGAGTTATGAACCTTGTCACATAACATGTGGATGATGATAACGTATATATATTTGAAGTATGAAGTTGATCACTTTAGAAATAAAATAAGTAACAGTAAAAAATAATATTTTTTATGGAAAATTCTAAGTTCAAAGGGAGATATAAATCTGCAAATATTGGTGCTTACAGTTATGAACCTTGTCACATAAGAATGGGGATGATGATAAACGTAAATATATTTGAAGTATGAGGTTGATCCCTTAAGAAATAAAGAAGAAACAGTAAGAAATAGTATTTTTTGAGGAAAATTCTAAGTTCAAGGGGAGACTAATCTATAAATATATTTGCAAGAGTTATGAACCTTGTCAAAGCAGATGGGGATGATGATAAGGTACATATATTTGAAGTATGAGGTTGATCCCTTAAGAAATAAAGAAGTAACAGTAAAAAATAGTATTTTTTAAGGAAAATTCTAAGTTCAAGGGGAGATAAATCTGAAAATATTGGTGCTAGAGTTATGAACCCTGTCACATAAGATGTGGTTGATGATAAGGAACATATATTTGAAGTTTGAAGTTAATACCTTAAGAAATGACAAAGTTTTAGTAAAAAATATTTTACTGCACCAAAACTTTAATCTAAAATCTGGACGCGGACGCGGACGCCGACGCCGACGCCGGGGCGAGTAGGACAGCTCTCCATATACTTCGTATAGTCGAGCTAAAAATACCAAAGTAAAAATCAAATCACCACTTTATAATTACATTGGTTCTTCACTATATTAATAATACTGGGAAAAAATATTAAATTGGAAGCCGTAAGTCTTGTGCCATAAAGTATGTTCATTTTAAGCTTATAGTGCCCTATCTATTGAGCTATTGCACAATTTTTAGCGAAATTTACAATTATCAATAAAATGTATAACCATTCTAGATTTACAACATTTTATTAACCAACTTAAAATGGAATGTCCAAGACTATAACTTAGATATGAAGAAACTTCGGTTGATCAAAACATAAATTAATTAATTGTACCACAAATAAACTATATTGATAAATAAAATATAAAGCAATGTTTTGTTTAAACCACACAAACGAACACAAATAGCGAAGATGATAAACTCTTTCTATACCTGATATGAAATCTGCAACGCATGTGTCAACAAATTTATCAGTGACTGCAAATTCTTCTTTATCTGGACACAACATTACTTTGATTGGTTTTGTACTAGTACTAGTCAATAACCATTCGACAGCGAATTCAGCAGTACAATTCATCAACTGATCAAATGTCCATTCCGGTGTTGGTTTTAATGATATCAGCACTGTGTTTTCCATAGTTCTATCAAGTTCATGAAATATTTGCTTCAGCTCTTCTTTTAAATCTTCAAATTCAGAATGTAAACCATCAACCCAAGCTGGCAACCTCAAGTCGACAATATGTTGCCTTTTGACAATCGGCACACCTTCATATTGTAACAAAAAACCTTATGTATAAACAGACAATGTAATATGTATCACAATTTGTTTTGATATAAAAATAATTTTTTGTGCTTAAGATATGATTTCAGTTAAACAACTCTGTAAAGGAGAGATCTTTCAGTGGTAAAAAAGTTTAAATAAATCCCTGTTGTATAAATTCACTGATTTTAGTTTTTATTGAATCTGTTAAGCCTAGGGGGAGATAATGAAAGGTGTAACATCTCTAACGCTCACTAAAATATGATTTTATATGTGAAATAAACTCACCTGCTTTCATATCAGTTGTGGATGGTATAACCTTGACACTGGCTATCGCTTCCTCAATCCTACACTGTACCACAAATAAAGATCTACCATCAGAAACAGTCCATTTATTATGATTATTATCTTCCATCTTTATAACTTGCAACTTCCCACCGACAAATATCCTTTCACCATGTTTTTGAAGATAAACATCTGACTCCTCTTCAATACTGCGAAGGAAATATTTGCTTGATTCTGATTCAAAAAATTGAAGGGCTGTATTCTGTGAAACAACGAAACTATCAAATATGAGTTTTTGTTCAGTATTTAGTATATATTCTAGAGCCGATTTAACACCTTTTTCTGAACCGTTAATTTTCAAAGAAAACTGTTCCGGGATTATAGAAATATTGACCTTGTAATTGTTTTCTATTTTTTTAAATAATCTTTGGAAATATGCTACATGCTTTTTCTTTCGAATATCGTATCTCTCGGAAAAACTTCGACAGGTACTCTGGTCCTGTTTATCAGTATTCGGGTCATATCGGTCATGTGTGCTGGAACCCATTGACTTTCTAACTTCCTGTATTTCTAGAAGTTCAGAACATGCCTCATCAACATCTGGTCTAAGTCCAAATAAATACAATCTGGATTCTTCATCTGTATCTACTAATATCTTTCCCTCAAATTTGCTTTGTAAATGTGTTTTTATACTGTCTGTCTGGTTTCTAGCATTTCCCTCAATTTGTTGGACCCGGTCTACTATCGATTGTTTTACTAAGTTTGCTGCATCAGACAGCATGCTTGACTCGAGACAGTAAACGCACAAACTTGTATTATTTTGTTCAAAAACGATGTTTGGAAATTTTGTTTTGAGCTGAGCATTTACACCATCTTCAACATTCAAATATTTTAGCAACTTTGTTTTACTCTTTGTTAGATATACATTAGTATGTTTTAGATCTTTTTCAACTTGTCTGAGCTCACTGATAGCAGAAGTTACAACGCCTTCGGGACCGGACAACTTGCAAACAAGTTTATCATCAAATTCTTCAAGAGTATATGAAATACTTGAATTTCTAAAGCATTGTTTTATCTCTCTTAAAAACCTTTTAAAGACACGATCTAGACGATATGTTTGCGTCACTTTACTCTGCTGGGAACTATCCATGTATTCTTGAAGACATTTACCAACGCATTCTTTGCCAGAATGCGGGTATACAATAAAAATG